CCTGACCTCCATAAACCCAAATGTACAGAATATACAGAAGGAGGGGAGGGGTAACTAAGAAATATCGGGGAAGAATGTCCCTTACATTGGGTGGTCAGTGGGAAGAAGATGTGTCCCTTACATTGGGGGTCAGTGGGAAGAATGTCCTGTTACATTGGGGGTCAGTGGGAAGAATGTCCCTTACATTGGGGGTCAGTGGGAAGAATGTCCCTTACATTGGGGGTCAGTGGGAAGAATGTCCCTTACATTGGGGGTCAGTGGGAAGAATGTCCCCTTACATTGGGGGGTCAGTGGGAAGAATGTCCCTTACATTGGGGGTCATGGGAAGAATGTCCCTTACATTGGGGGTCAGTGGGAAGAATGTTCCCTTACATTGGGGGTCAGTGGGGAAGAATGTCCCTTACATTGGGGGTCAGTGGGAAGAATGTCCCTTACATTGGGGTCAGTGGAAGAATGTCCCTTACATTGGGGGTCAGTGGGAAGAATGTCCCTTACATTGGTGGGTCAGTGGGAAGAATGTCCCTTACATTGGGGGTCAGTGGGAAGAATGTCCCTTACATTGGGGTCAGTGGGAAGAATGTCCCTTACATTGGGGGTCAGTGGGAAGAATGTCCCTTACATTTGGGGTCAGTGGGAAGAATGTCCCTTACATTGGGGGTCAGTGGGAAGAATGTCCCTTACATTGGGGGTCAGTGGGGGAAGAATGTCCCTTACATTGGGGTCAGTGGGAAGAATGTCCCTTACATTGGGGGTCAGTGGGAAGAATGTCCCTTACATTGGGGGTCAGTGGGAAGAATGTCCCCTTACATTGGGGGTCAGTGGGAAGAATGTCCCTTACATTGGGGGTCAGTGGGAAGAATGTCCCTTACATTGGGGGGTAGTGGGAAGAATGTCCCTTACATTGGGGGTCAGTGGGAAGAATGTCCCTTACATTGGGGGGTCAGTGGAAGAATGTCCCTTACATTGGGGGTCAGTGGGAAGAATGTCCCTTACATTGGGGGTCAGTGGGAAGAATGTCCCTTACATTGGGGGTCAGTGGGAAGAATGTCCCTTACATTGGGGTCAGTGGGAAGAATGTCCCTTACATTGGGGGTCAGTGGGAAGAATGTCCCTTACATTGGGGTGTCAGTGGGAAGAATGTCCCTTACATTGGTGGTCAGTGGGAAGAATGTCCCTTACATTGGGGGTCAGTGGGAAGAATGTCCCTTACATTGGGGGTCAGTGGGAAGAATGTCCCTTACATTGGGGGGGTCAGTGGGAAGAATGTCCCTTACATTGGGGGTCAGTGGGGAAGAATGTCCCTTACATTGGGGGTCAGTGGGAAGAATGTCCCTTACATTGGGGGGGTCAGTGGGAAAGAATGTCCCTTACATTGGGGGTCAGTGGGAAGAATGTCCCTTACATTGGTGGGTCAGTGGGAAGAATGTCCCTTACATTGGGGGTCAGTGGGGAAGAATGTCCCTTACATTGGGGGTCAGTGGGAAGAATGTCCCTCCCTTACATTGGGGTCAGTGGGAAGAATGTCCCTTACATTGGGGGTCAGTGGGAAGAATGTCCCTTACATTGGGGGTCAGTGGGAAGAATGTCCCTTACATTGGGGGTCAGTGGGAAGAATGTCCCCTTACATTGGGGGTCAGTGGGAAGAATGTCCCTTACATTGGTGGTCAGTGGGAAGAATGTCCCTTACATTGGGGGTCAGTGGGAAGAATGTCCCTTACATACATTGGGAAGAATGTCACATTGGGGTGGGGGAAGAATGTCCCTTACATTGGGGGTCAGTGGGAAATGTCCCTTACATTGGGGGTCAGTGGGAAGAATGTCCCTTACATTGGTGTCAGTGGGAAGAATGTCCCTTACATTGGGGGTCAGTGGGAAGAATGTCCCTTACATTGGGGTCAGTGGGAAGAATGTCCCTTACATTGGGGGTCAGTGGGAAGAATGTCCCTTACATTGGGGGTCAGTGGGAAGAATGTCCCTTACATTGGGGGTCAGTGGGAAGAATGTCCCTTACATTGGGGGTCAGTGTGGAAAGAATGTCCCTTACATTGGGGGTCAGTGGGAAGAATGTCCCTTACATTGGGGGTCAGTGGGAAGAATGTCCCTTACATTGGGGGTCAGTGGGAAGAATGTCCCTTACATTGGAAGAATGTCCCTTACATTGGGGGTCAGTGGGAAGAATGTCCCTTACATTGGGGTCAGTGGGAAGAATGTCCCTTACATTGGGGGGTCAGTGGGAAGAATGTCCCCTTACATTGGGGGTCAGTGGGAAGAATGTCCCTTACATTGGGGGTTGTCAGTGGGAAGAATGTCCCTTACATTGGGGAAGGTCCCTTACATTGGTGGTCAGGGAAGAATGTCCCTTACATTGGGGGTCAGTGGAAGAAGAATGTCCCTTACATTGGTGGTCAGTGGGAAGAATGTCCCTTACATTGGGGGTCAGTGGGAAGAATGTCCCTTACATTGGGGGTCAGTGGAAAGAATGTCCCTTACATTGGTGGTCAGTGGGAAGAATGTCCCTTACATTGGGGGTCAGTGGGAAGAATGTCCCTTACATTGGGGGTCAGTGGGAAAGAATGTCCCTTACATTGGGGGTCAGTGGGAAGAATGTCCCTTACATTGGGGGTCAGTGGGAAGAATGTCCCTTACATTGGTCCAGTCAGTGGGAAGAATGTCCCTTACATTGGGGGTCAGTGGGAAGAATGTCCCTTACATTGGGGGTCAGTGGGAAGAATGTCCCTTACATTGGGGGTCAGTGGGAAGAATGTGTCCTTACATTGGGGGTCAGTGGGAAGAATGTCCCTTACATTGGGGGTCAGTGGGAAGAATGTCCCTTACATTGGGGTCAGTGGGAAGAATGTCCCTTACATTGGTCAGTGGGAAGAATGTCAGTTACATGGGAAGGAATGTCCCTTACATTGGGGGTCAGTGGGAAGAATGTGTCCCTTACATTGGGGGTCAGTGGGAAGAATGTCCCTTACATTGGGGGTCAGTGGGAAGAATGTCCCTTACATTGGGGTCAGTGGGAAGAATGTCCCTTACATTGGGGGTCAGTGGGAAGAATGTCCCTTACATTGGGGGTCAGTGGGAAGAATGTCCCTTACATTGGGGGTCAGTGGGAAGAATGTCCCTTACATTGGGGGGTCAGTGGGAAGAATGTCCCTTACATTGGGGGTCAGTGGGAAGAATGTCCCTTACATTGGGTCAGTGGGGAAGAATGTCCCTTACATTGGGGGTCAGTGGAAAGAATGTCCCTTACATTGGGGGTCAGTGGGAAGAATGTCCCTTACATTGGGGGTCAGTGGGAAAGAATGTCCCTTACATTGGGGGTCAGTGGGAAGAATGTCCCTTACATTGGGGGTCAGTGGGAAGAATGTCCCTTACATTGGGGGTCAGTGGGAAGAATGTCCCTTACATTGGGGGTCAGTGGGAAGAATGTCCCTTACATTGGGGGTCAGTGGGTCAGTGGGAAGAATGTCCCTTACATTGGGGGTCAGTGGGAAGAATGTCCCTTACATTGGGGTCAGTGGGGAAGAATGTCCCTTACATTGGGGGTCAGTGGGAAGAATGTCCCTTACATTGGGGGTCAGTGGGAAGAATGTCCCTTACATTGGGGGTCAGTGGGAAGAATGTCCCTTACATTGGGGGTCAGTGGGAAGAATGTCCCTTACATTGGGGGGTCAGTGGGAAGAATGTCCCTTACATTGGGGTCAGTGGGAAGAATGTCCCTTACATTGGGGTCAGTGGGAAGAATGTCCCTTACATTGGGGGGTCAGTGGGAAGAATGTCCCTTACATTGGGGTCAGTGGGAAGAATGTCCCTTACATTGGGGGGTCAGTGGGAAGAATGTCCCTTACATTGGGGGTCAGTGGGAAGAATGTCCCTTACATTGGGGGTCAGTGGGAAGAATGTCCCTTACATTGGGGTCAGTGGGAAGAATGTCCCTTACATTGGTGGGGTCAGTGGGAAGAATGTCCCTTACATTGGGGGTCAGTGGGAAGAATGTCCCTTACATTGGGGGTCAGTGGGAAGAATGTCCCTTACATTGGGGGTCAGTGGGAAGAATGTCCCTTACATTGGGGGTCAGTGGGAAGAATGTCCCTTACATTGGGGGTCAGTGGGAAGAATGTCCCTTACATTGGGGGTCAGTGGGAAGAATGTCCCTTACATTGGGGGTCAGTGGGAAGAATGTCCCTTACATTGGGGGTCAGTGGGAAGAATGTCCCTTACATTGGGGGTCAGTGGGAAGAATGTCCCTTACATTGGGGGGGGTCAGTGGGAAGAATGTCCCTTACATTGGGGGTCAGTGGGAAGAATGTCCCTTACATTGGGGGTCAGTGGGAAGAATGTCCCTTACATTGGGGGTCAGTGGGAAGAATGTCCCTTACATTGGGGGGTCAGTGGGAAGAATGTCCCTTACATTGGGGGTCAGTGGGAAGAATGTCCCTTTACATTGGGGGTCAGTGGGAAGAATGTCCCTTACATTGGGGGTCAGTGGGAAGAATGTCCCTTACATTGGGGGTCAGTGGGAAGAATGTCCCTTACATTGGGGTCAGTGGGAAGAATGTCCCTTACATTGGGGGTCAGTGGGAAGAATGTCCCTTACATTGGGGGTCAGTGGGAAGAATGTCCCTTACATTGGGGTCAGTGGGAAGAATGTCCCTTACATTGGGGGTCAGTGGGAAGAATGTCCCTTACATTGGGGGTCAGTGGGAAGAATGTCCCTTACATTGGGGGTCATGGGAAGAATGTCCCTTACATTGGGGGTCAGTGGGAAGAATGTCCCTTACATTGGGGGTCAGTGGGAAGAATGTCCCTTACATTGGTGGGTCAGTGGGAAGAATGTCCCTTACACATTGGGGATCAGTGGGAAGAATGTCCCTTACATTGGTGTCAGGTCCCTTACATTGGTGGTCAGTGGGAAGAATGTCCCTTACATTGGGGGTCAGTGGGAAGAATGTCCCTTACATTGGGGGTCAGTGGGAAGAATGTCCCTCTTTACATTGGGGGTCAGTGGGAAGAATGTCCCTTACATTGGGGTCAGTGGGAAGAATGTCCCTTACATTGGGGGGTCAGTGGGAAGAATGTCCCCATTACATTGGGGGTCAGTGGGAAGAATGTCCCTTACATTGGGGGGTCAGTGGGGAGAATGTCCCTTACATTGGGGGGTCAGTGGGAAGAATGTCCCTTACATTGGGGGTCAGTGGGAAGAATGTCCCTTACATTGGGGGTCAGGGGGGGAAGAATGTCCCTTACATTGGTGGTTCTGAGTGGGAAGAGTGTCCCTTACATTGGGGGTCAGTGGAAGAATGTCCCTTACATTGGGGGTCAGTGGGAAGAATGTCCCTTACATTGGTGGTCAGTGGGGGGAAGAGTGTCCCTTACATTGGGGGTCAGTGGGGGGAAGAGTGTCCCCTTACATTGGGGGTCAGTGGGGGGAAGAGTGTCCCTTACATTGGGGGTCGGGGTTTTGCTGATTGCTGCGGAACCCCTGAACAAGCTCTGGTGGGGTCCTGTGGAGTTCGGTGGATTTGGGTGCCTCTGGTTGGGTGAAGTTCCCTTCAGTGACATTTTGTGCAGTACATTGGTCACGGAGAATGTTGGGATGATGCGATTGTGTCAGCTCTTGTTCCGGAAGATATATTCGGTGTGTCTGTCTCTCTGTCTATTGGATACATTGATCAGTGAAGATATATGAAGAGGAATTCACAGTCGATTACTTTTCTTCGTATTTCATTCGATGTCAGAACTTCTCTCGGCTCCATACAATGAGGGCTCCAGATTCCTCCATCTTCTGATCGATCGATCTATAAGGCGATCTCTGATTTCCTATCTCATCCAATGAGGGATCATTTCTGACTCTCAGCCGGGACTTTTCTTCTTTATGACGAATAATTTCTTTTCATATTCCGCATTCCAGGCGTTCCTGATTATCCGGCAGGAGGAGAGGAGCTCCCAGCATGCCTCAGAAAGTTCCTTCATGTGTTCCGGGAACATCGGCTCCTGTAGAAATTTCACTTTCTTTTTATGATCTCAGAAACACCAACAGCCCATAATTCCCCTCCCCCCACCATGAGGGCAGCGTGGCCCTTCAGTGTCCTCGGCTCACAATCTGTGGCCCCAACATGGAACTACAAGTCCCAGCATCTCCTCTCATGCACTCGGTTCCGGAACACGCACGCGCGGTCTGCGTATATGAAATGTTCCGCCATATTAGAAGGAGAATTCCCACTTATATCAGGAAAATATCTATCCCAATCTATATCCTGCGATCCTTGCCCCGCCTCCTGCGTCCGGACCGCCATAGAACATCATAGAGGCCTTGGGGGGGGGCGGTCATGTGATCCCAACAACACCAGGCCAAGAAGTAGAAGGATAGATACACAACCGAAAACCTCCGGAACCATCTCTGGCCCAACCTGCCTGTCCGGCCCCCGGGGGGAGATTTCACTTCCTGTGCTGGAGGATGGAGGAGGAAAACCTCCAGTGACAGGAATTCCCCCTGAGGGGTAATGGAGGAGAATGGAGCGGGGATCGCACACCCTCCATGTACAGACCCCCCCATGTACAGACCTCCCCCATGTACAGACCCCCCTTCCATGTACAACCCTCCCATGTACAGTCCCCCCCATGTACAGACCCCCCATGTACAGTCCCCCCCATTTACAGACCCCTCCTCCATGTACAACCCCCCCCATGTACAACCCCCCCATGTACAGACCCCCCTTCCATGTACAACCCCCCCATGTACAGACCCCCCTTCCATGTACAACCCCCCCCATGTATAGTCCCCCCCATGTACAACCCTCCCATGTACAATCCCCCCATGTACAACAAAACCCCCATGTACAGTCCCCCCCATGTACAAACCCCCCCCACCATGTACAACCCTCCCATGTACAGTCCCCCCCCCATGTACAGACCCCCACCTCCATGTACAGACCCCCCCACCTCCATGTGCAGACCCCCCATGTACAGTCCCCCCCCATGTACAGACCCCCCCCCTTCCATGTACAGTTCCCCCATGTACAGACCCCCATGTACAGACCCCCCCCCATGTACAGACCCCCTTGTACAGACCCCCCATGTACAGACCCCCCCATGTACAGACCCCCACCTCCATGTACAGACCCCCACCTCCATGTACAGACCCCCCATGTACAGTCCCCCCCCCCATGTACAGACCCCCCCCCTTCCATGTACAGTTCCCCCATGTACAGACCCCCATGTACAGACCCCCCATGTACAGACCCCCTTGTACAGACCCCCCATGTACAGACCCCCCATGTACAGACCCCCCATGTACAGACCCCCCATGTACAGACCCCCCCATGTACAGACCCCCCCCTCCATGTTCAGACCCCCATGTACAGTGTTATTTATAGAGGAGCCCCCCCGTGTTAGTATGAAGGACCCCCGTAATGGAGGAATTGGTTCCAGATGCAGATTTTGGGGTGTGCATTCAGTGGGCGTGTCCTGTAATTGGTTGTTCATTGGATGGATCTCTGACCCCCCTCCCCCTCTTCTCATTATATATAGATCTGTAGCTCCGCCCTCTAGTGGTTGTCTATCACACTGCAATTATTCAGCTTTTCTGATCAGCAACTGCTGAGATAAAACCATTCAGCCACCTGGGGCCATGTACTCGGAGTGAGCGTTCTGCGCATGCTTTCACGCCTTTCTGCTTCTTGCACCCTGAGGTTGTGTGGATCGATGTGCGTAGATCCGAAGGTCAGATCCGTCCAAGATTCACCCGACTTTCACCTTGTTTTCACAGCATCGCATCTGTTGCATCGAAATCTCCATGTGCCTAGGCTCATCCCCTCGGCAGGCAGACATGTTGTGGGCCCCACAGATGCCACCCTCACTTTAATGCCACCCCCACTTTGGTTGCTAGGACACTGGCACAGCAACCAATGACAATGTGTGACACTGGTTGCTAGGACACTGGCGGCTGGGCTGCACAGCTTCATTGGTTGCTAGGATGCTGGCAGCAGACCTGTCATTGGTTGTTATAGTGCACCAGCAACCAATGACAGCGTGCAGTTCAGCCACCCAGTGTCCTAGCAACCAACCAGCTCAGTATGGTTAGTGGTATGGATACTCCGGCCTCAGTGCTGCCCCCCCCCCCCCTCATCCCCCACTGCCCCCCCCCCCCCAGTACCATCTGAGCTGGTTGCCTCCTCTGGCCTCAATGGTGTCACCACCCCTCAACCAACCAGCTTTTGTCAGCTTGGTTTCCTGCTGCTGGACTACCAATCACCTCCCTTCCTCCTCCTATCACATGAGGTGTTCTGTAGTCCAGCAGGGGAGGGCTCAGGGAAGGAGAGTTGTCACCATAGGAGTGAGGAGATGATTGGATTCCTGGCAGGATCATCAAATATTGTTTTCATACATGGGGATTGGATGGGGTGTTGGGGGAGGGGTTTGCCCAGATACACATTTTGAAGGAGAGCGCCCCCTCCAGTGCTGGGTATATGCAGGCCGGTGCAGTCTGCTTCCCCCTCAGTAGGTGGCGCTCAGCTGGAGAGGAAGTCAATAGAAACTTGTTTTCTTCATGATTTCCTGTGCCTCTGGGGAAGCGTTCTGGTTGGCTACGCTGCGTTCAGGTGACCCCTGGCGGCCATCTTGGGTGAAACACAGCCTTTTTAGGTCCCTGTTCCCAGGTTTTGTGTGCAGTGGGTAGCGCTCCTACCTGACAGGGAAAGTGATTAGCGGCAGGGAGAGGTTCCGGACGAGTAGGGACAGGCTAGGGACAAGTCACCCCTTTTTGGAAGCCTCTCTGTTGGGATGAGCCCAGCCACATTCCTTCCTCTGAGACAGACGCTGTCGGTGCATCTGAACCTTCTCCGCTCTACCCAGCTGCACTGACCTGTGAGTGTTGGCGGGTGGCGCTCTCCCCGCTGGGCTGTGTGTGGAGTTGAGTTGTTCCTTCCTTCAATACAAGTTCTCGTTCTCTGACCCCAGACTGTCCCACCTCCCCAGCAGTGGGCGGAGACTGAGCAGAGCTCCTATATCTCATTGGTCCATATATGGATGGAGGAGAAATTGATTGGAAATGATGAGCTGACTTCTCTCTGAACTCCCCTTCAGGAGGGGTGACACTGCTGGACTGTCATGACCGCCATCTCTCCATCCTTTCCCACAATTCCCTGCTGTTGGGTGTATGGGGCGGCACTGCGCACAGCTCGTCACTCACCCCTCCTCAGGCCCAGTTGGGTGATAAGCCGGGAATGCAGAACAAACAAGTCCAGGAATTTGTATTGGGGAGGGAAAAGCCTCCGGAGACATCTGTATCTTCCATGTCGGTGGAGGTTTGTCAGCTCCTGGGGGGAGGCTGATATCTGTCGGACGCATGGAGTATGTATGACACAGAATAGCTCTGTCTGAGCTTCCAGCACCTAAACTCCTGGGGGCCCAAATATCTTCCACCCAACACAATCCGCTGTGACAATGGCGTGCGGCCCAGACAGGTGAGGGGATTACCGCCCCCCGCTCTGATTTCATCCTCCCGAAAAATAGACGTCGGAAGGTGACATTGCCCAACGCCGACCCCGGGGAACATTCCCGGCCAAAGGAGTCAGTGATATCAGATTAGAGATGGGGCCATACATCTGCCCTTATATGGGGGCAACAGAAGAAGTTCCCCCTTATATGGGGCAATAATGGAGGTCACCCCTTATATGGGGCAATAATGGAGGTCACCCCTTATATGGGGCAATAATGGAGGTCCCCCCTTATATGGGGCAATAATGGAAGTCACCCCTTATATGGGGCAATAATGGAGGTCACCCCTTATATGGGGCAACAATGGAGGTCCCCCCTTTATATGGGGCAATAATGGAGGTCACCCCTTATATGGGGCAATAATGGAGGTCACCCCTTATATGGGGCAATAGAAGATGTAACCCCTTATATGGGGCAATAGAAGAGGTCCCCCCTTATATGGGGCAATAATGGGGGGGTCCCCCCTTATATGGGGCAAAATGGAGGTCACCCCTTA